CTTAGTTTTTGTTATTACTTTGTTGTGTCGATGTTGTTGTTGTATTAATAAATTTATCGTAATAAAAGTCTAATAACCCAAGTTTTGAGGTATTACCAACTAAAGAGGCAGAAAGAACCCTCAGTTTTTGTCACGGTTGAAGAAAATCGGCGACAAAATTTGGTCCAACCAGCCGTATCCGAACAAACGATCTAAGGATTCGATTAAGAAAGAAGCGACCTAAGGATTTGATCAAGAAAGAAGCAAGTAACTCGTATTCAATTAAGAAAGAAGTGGGAAAGAATAATTCTTATTCGCATTTTTTTTTCATTAGCTCATAACAAAGCTTGAAAGTGGTCGAAAAAGAAATATGAGTGCAAACGATTCAAGAAAGGAAACGTTGGAAAGACTGGAACTACGAGAAAAGGATTTACCAGAAAGATTAAGTTACGAAAGAACGATGGAATGACTAAAAGGACAAAAATCTGATATAGAGAAACAAGTAATAATGTTGGACGATATAATCTCCAAGGCAAATGATTTGGAGATAGAATGGAAAGAGTTGCTACGTTCAGCAAATGATGACGAGTAGGAGAATAACGTTGCATTATACGAAGATTGCTTGTACAAGGGAAATTGTCTATTTGACAAAGGAAATAAGCTTTATTGTGAAAGAGCTTTACTTCTTACGAAACTAAATCGAGTAAGTGAAACAATCATAGAAATTAAAATGAAGTGTGGAAAGGCAGATCATGAACCAGCAGCAACAGAAGGGCAAAAGAATAGTCTAGAAGATTTAATAGAGAAGATAATCACGACCAGTAAATCACCGACTTTAAAACCGGTAGAATTTGATGGCGATCCGAAAATGTGGAGCCAGTTTAAAGAATCAATTCGCAACAGAATGGATTTAACGCCCAGCAGAAATCCATGCATCTGTCAAGCAGTTTGAAAGGAGAAGCAAGAGAATAAATAAGTGTCGGAGAAACTCTGAAAATCATAACGCGAAATTGCAACAATAAAAAGAAGGAGGTCCTGAGCGCCAAATCATTTTCGCAAGAAGTATTGCAACAAGTCGGTTGGGTCGACGATATCGCGGGTTATTGGTTTTTGGTCCCTCTTTTGCTCATAGTGATATTATAATCGTTGAAATCGCTTCTGTATTACCGAGTTTTGAGGAATAAAGGTTTAATTACCCAAGTTTGAAATTGAGAAATTCGGCGACAATAAGTGATTTTATGGTAAATGAAGGAAATCACCCGCTGGCTCTAAAAAATTTGTATGAACTATCGTTCATACAAATGGTGGTAAAAAACAAAGAATAAAGGGACTGTATAAAAGCTTAGAAAAGAGTTCGATGCTCAAATAAAGAACCGTTTGAAATGATAGGGGAGGTTTTGAACTTACTGTCTCGATTAAAAGGATTAGGAGGAAACAGAAACGCAACTCGACGTGATGGTAACTGATAGAATACCAGAAGACATGGATAAGGGCTTATAAAAGAAGTACAGGGAGCCGGAATGGACAATGGATTATTAAATACCTAAAAGATGAAGATCAAAGAATCTGAAGTGAAACTACCGGAAAAGGGGAATTTAGTAGACAGGACAACGATGTAACGAGCAAGATCAAATGGAACAAGATTCGCGAATGGGGAGAGTGGCATCAGACGTTCGACAGTTTGCTCAATAGCGGAGAGAATATATCTCAGCAAAGTGTCACAAAAGGAAGAAGGAAGTCAATTACCGCGTGTTTTTTGTGAAGGTAATCATTGGAACGACAGACACATACCCTACTGTTGACAAAAGGATGGAAAGATTAAAGATATTGAGACTTTATGGAATTATGCTTAAAAAACGACCACTCACAAGAAAATGCATGAGAAGAATGAAATGTTTTTATTGTGGATCTGGCCACAATAGCGCTTTATGCAGGGGACGCAACGAAATAAAGCAAGAATTTCAAAAATAGTGAGGAAACAAACATAAGCCCAAAAACAGTGGCGGCCATGGTTACGGATGATAGCATTCGGGAAACGTATATGATGTGTAAAGAAGTAAGGCTAATCAATCCAGATGAACCAAGAAAAACATCAAAGGCCTTAATTTTCTTCGATACAGGAAGTGATTGTAATTATGTTACAGAATCAATGGTAAGCAAATTGAGTTTAAAACAAACATCACCGAGTTTGGGAATGTTAATAACAGGAATGGTGGGCACAAGGAAATACGAAAGCCGAAAGATAACCTTCGGAGTTCAAACTCTGTCCGAGAATGTGAAGAATATCCAAGCGTACATTGTCGATTCAATACTCGAACGGATACCGTATGTAACAAACAATAAAAGAAACAAACTAGTTGAAGGTAAATGGGGAAAACCGATGTATTATTAGGCGTAGAAGGGATTGCAGATTTAATCATTTGTAATTCCATAAAGCGCTCACCACGGATGATTATGATGGAAACAAAAATAGGGGTGGTCGAAGGCGGCACACGGAAAACGACACAAGATAGTGATACAGTAAATAGAAATGACGAGTCTTATAAATT